CAGGGGGCGCCACCCCGCCCCGCCCTCAGACCGCCCCGCCCCGCCCCTGTCTCGTGTCATGCCCCTCTCCCCGGCCAATGAGAAGCGGCTGGGGAGGAGGAGCTCGGAGAGCGCGGCCCAATRGGAAGCGAGAACTGACGCGGCGGTGGCCAATCGGAGAACACACCGGTGAGAGCGCGATCCGGGGCCGGGGACCGGGCGGGRAGGGGGCGTGGCCAAGGGAGCGCGGGCCCTCAATCAGGTGAGGGCGGTGCTGACCGGCGGCGGCGGCGGCCAATGGCGCCGCGGGGGTGGTGCCTGCCCTGCCCTTCCCTCCCGCCGCCGAAGCTGCCAGAGAGTCAGGTGGCTCCGGGATGCGCGGCGGCGGCAGGAGGCGGTGGAGGCGGGCGCGGAGGAGGCGGTGGATGGGGGGGATGCGGCGGCTCCTCCACGGCATACGCTGCCTGGTCTCCCCGCTGCCTGCGCTGGGCTGAGGCGGCTCCGCGCCGGGAACCCCCGGCAGCGGCGGCGGCGGCACCTGGTGCCGGCGGGCGTCGGGCCGCATGAACAATAGGCGGCGGTCCCGGCCCCGCCGCTCCCCGCAGAGCCCGGCTRCCGCGGGCGCCTCCCCCTATGGAGCAGTCTCACCATGGAGCCCCTCACCGAGCTCAGCCAGGAGGGCGCGGGCGGCGGGGAGCCGCCGGGCGAAGGGCCGCTCTGGACCGCTGTCTTCGAGTACGAGGCGTGCGGCGAGGACGAGCTGAGCCTGCGGCCGGGGGACGTGGTGCAGGTGCTGTCCCGGGACTCGCACGTGTCCGGCGACGAGGGCTGGTGGACGGGCAAGATCGACCAGCGCGTCGGCATCTTCCCCAGCAACTACGTGAGCAGCGGCGTGCAGGGGGGCGGCCCGGAGCTGCGCACCCGGTACCCGCCGCCCCCCGCCATACAGCGTAAGGGAGCCTGGGCCTGGGGCGGGGGGCTCGGTGCAGCGCCTCCTCGGGGAGGGAGGGAGGGAGCCAGGGGAGAGGGGGAGAGGGGGAGAGGCCCGGTTCCGCCTCCCTGTCGTGAGCTTGGGGTACGTATGGGAGCGGGGACGGGACCGGCGGGTCTGCCGACGTTGTGGGGGGAACCGAGGCTCGGCCCTCCCGATGCCCCTGCGGGGAGGGCTTGGCCCGGTCCGCCTGGTCTGGCCCTTCCGTGGGTCCTGTTGGCAGCCGGGGCCTCCGCGCAGGGGGGAGGGAAGGCCCATCCCCGCCGTGAGCGGCCGTGGGAGGCCGCGGGCCTAGCCAGCGGCGGGGGGGCCCGCGATGGCCTTCAGCGGGGAGCGGAGGGGCTTCGGCGCCTCTGCTCTTCCCACCCTGGGGATGCCCCAGGCCCCCGGTCTGTTCCCTTTCCCATTCGCGGAGGTATTCCTGCTGCTCCAGTGCCCTTCTGTCTTCCAGGCTAGCGCGCTGCTCCCCGGGAGGCAGAGCCTCGCTCTGTGTGTTGTTAGCATTTTATCGACGCCGGGAGCAGTTTTCCCATTGTTAAAACCTGTGYTTCCAGGGGCTGATAAATTTTCTTTCAACGACAGAATCCTGGCGGCTGGGCAGTGGTGGAGTCACCAGGCTTTAAGAATATTCTTAAAGAAAGGTTGCTGGAAGGGAAGCAGTTGCTTTCTGAAGTGTTGATTCACTGCTAGTACTTGTTCAGTATCATCCTACTTACTCACCAAAAGCCTATTATTTCTGACTGAAAAATTCCCGAGTTGACTTGTGTTACCAGGTTCCTCTGGCCTCCAAAAAATTTTGTCCTAAAATGCCAGTGATTGWGTTCTATCCACATTTGGATATCTGWGCTTGCTTGACTGTGTTGTGACGCTGAAGGCACAAGGGGATTGGTTTGTTTCCATGAATTTCAGTGCAGTTTTGAAGCCTTTGTTGGAGACAGAGAATAGGGGTGTTTCATGTATACATTTTTTTAGTCACTATGTACACTTGTGGAAAGAGAAACAGCATGGAATGACTGTTTCTAGATTCCGTTTATCTATTACCATTGACAATTCAGGCAAAGATAATGCTTTTTTTTTTTGAGCAGTAGAGAAAAATCTTTGGACTAGTAGGCTTTTCTAGAAGGTAAAAGAGTGAAAAGATTCTTTGTCCTATCTGGGCCATATCTCCAAGGAATACAACTAACAGCTTTTTTCTTACTCTGTATTCTGCTTGAAAGCATTTAGGTAAAACTCAGTAACAGTAGCATTGCCCTTGGGCTTGTGAAGGGACTAGGTGCTGTTCCTTTTTTTCATGCTGCAGCAGTATAGGTAAGTTACTCTATTCCCCATACACAGAAAAAGCTGTAAATGAATGCTTASTAGATGTTGCTTTTGAGACAATTAGCAGAACCATTTCTACAGAACTTTTTGAACTCTCAGCTCCTGTCCTGTTTTGAGTGTTCTCATTCAGGCTTTGTAACTGTGGATTCTTCTTTCTTGCTGCCTCTTCTATGGGTTGATAGTTCACAAACAGTGGTGGAGTTGTACCTTCCTCCTTCATCTTTGCCGTACTCTTCCTGTGCTGCAGCAGGACTATACTACTTCTCTTCTGTTAAATTATCAACCATGAATTCATGATAAAATAGAATTTATTGCCCTCCAGTAGATATGTATAATGCCTAAGGAGCATGTTGGTTTTTTTAAAAGAAACAATGCAATTTTGACAGGGGTTGTCATTGAATTGGATTTTCAAGTTGAATATTAGAAATCCTTTGCAAGGAATGCTATCTTCTTTGAGAGCTGATGGTRTTAGTTTGGTAGCTGTTTAGAATGGGAATAACAGTCTACTGTTATAGTCTGTAGTCTAATAAGTCCAGTTTTGCAGCAGTGATGCAAAGTATTGTTCTGGACTTGCATCTCTGCACAAAAGCTGTTTTTACTTGTTTTCCTGAAGTTTATGTTCATGTTTAATGGAAATTTGGGAATATAAGTCCTAGAGTTCCTCTTCTACTGAGAGCTGTACTAGTTTAGTTGGTAATTTTAGCCATCCACGTAGTGTGCTTGAATCTTGCCTCRGTGAGGGTATCATGAATGGTAAAAGTAGCCTGTAGAGGCTGTCAGCAGTGGGCCAACTTGGAGGACTCTCATCTGGCTATGAGCTCTTACAMACTGTAGGCTGAATTAAATAGATTAATCATATGGTCTATTAAGTGCTGATTAAACAGCACCTACTTTACAGTTGTCAACATGGCCACTGGTTCATGGTGTATAGTCTCTGTAATTCCTTTTCAGTCCCTAGAGGAATGATAGCACTTCAGTTCTTAAATTCTGTATAGTCTAGTACAACCCATCTATCAAATTACACTGGTGTTAGAGATGGGGTTAGTGTGTTTGGAAATGTGAAGAAAAACAAATATTTTGTGCCCTAATGTAGCTGTGTAATTCAAACTGTGAAAGTGAATATACTAATTCAGCACAAAATACCTTTCAAAAACCCCAAATAAAACATTTTTTAAAAATGAGGGTTTTTTTTTTTTTTTTTTTTTTTTCCTAAATAAGTAACCCAAGAGGGTGAGCTGGCCAGTTTGCCTTGCAGAAAAATATATTTCCAAACAAAAGCTAAGGTCGTACTTCCAGGTAAAAGAACATTCCATGTCACACATTAGATTTCATCCGGAAGCTGAAGTCTCTCGGTTTTACATCCCACCCCTATTAATTTGTGCCTCGAGCAGGGATGTGTTTTTTTCTGATGGAAAATGGGTGGCAGCGCACGAAGTGTTCTATTTTCCAGTCCTTCGGTTTCCTTTGCCCATCTCGTTCTCCTGCCTGCCACCTTCCTGTCGCGCTTCTCCCCAGCACTGGGTCGGGGGAGGGAGCGGGTGCGGGGGCCGCAGGGCTGTCCTGTCCCATCCCATCCCGTCCCGCCGTCATCGCTGCTGCCGGAGCTGTCCCTTCAGCACCTGCGGGCCAGCGGGACGGCGCGCTCAGCGCCTCGTTGGTGTCTTCTCAATGCGTGAAATGCCCGAACATCCGCTGTGAACAACACTGGAACGCTGTGTGTCCGGAGTTAGCGGGGTGGGCAGTCACCTTAGTGCTATGGCTGGTGTGTTCGTTCATTTTCAGTCTTTTAATTGACCCACTGTTCCTAGGAGCAAGTTAATTGAGGATTCTACCAGCACTGAAATTCTGCTGACTGAAGAGATAGGACTCAACATCTGATTTCTTTAGCTCTTTTATTCGTTGGAAATACAAGAGAAACTCTTTTTGTTATTCTCAGTGACAGGGTAGTTTCACATGTGGAGTTATTGTCATTACAGTCTTGTTTTAAGATTCCAGTCTTTCTGGTCAGAGTCTGGTTTCCTTTCATGTTTTCGAGTAATCTGTGTCTTGAGTATTTGAGCACCAAGGTCCCTACTGTAGGACTAAAATCTTCTTTGTTGTGCAAATCCTTGAAGCTCAGAGTGTTATGCAAAGTAAGTATTCACTGTAAGAAAAGAATAAATTCTCTGTGTTCTGGACTGGAAGAGACTTTTTTTTTTTCATTTTAGAAGAGTTTCCTGGTCGGTTTTCTGTCTTGTTTCCCATTAATCTTTTATTCATGGAGCACTAGGTAAAGAGCACAGGCATCCTTATTAAACTAACTCATACATTTGACTAACTTACAAAAGTAAGCCAACTTCTGAAAAATCATGTTCAGGAAAGATAGAGCTCAGGCAAAAAAATGAAGCCTGTAGCTGTGGACAGAAGAGTTTATATTTGTCCCATGTAGTTTTGTGACAAAGTTTTGTCTATAGGCTTACATTAGGAAAGACATTTGATTGGAATAAGGAAACTAGTTGACCTAAGTGGGATCTAACATGCTCCCTTACAAAGCTAATTTCCTTTCTACTAGACAAAGTAGGGGGAACCATGTCAGATTTGGCATTTCAAATTAAGGAAAGTATTAAAAGCTTGGTGACTTTCTGTTTAAATCTTGCATTATCGTATTCTTCCTTTAAAACTTTWAAAAATTTCATTGACTGTAATTGATAACCATGCAAGTATCAGACAGAATAGCATCAGTGGTAACCTATCACTACTCTAAATTAAGCTGTGTCAACATGTTTTCATTGGTCAGTATGTGGAATTTTCATTCTACATTAGTCAGTGGGTTCTTTTGTCCACCCATATTAACTGTATTTAATGTTCAGGATATATTTTCTCATTGCTTTTGCTCCAGGTGCAATTTGTGTGCTGAACTGAGACATCTGCATCTGTGGATTTTTTTCCTATACAATGACAATTAGCCACCAGTCACTATGTCAGCCTGTAAAGTGTAGCTGTGAGTGTATGGGAATCGGAAGTTTCTGTAACAAAAATGCTGTATGCATTAAATAAAAAATGTTTCTCTTATTGCTTGCTCTGCACCCTCAGTATGTGGTTTCATCCATCTGTTTAGTCACACTATTGTCAGTAATGTCAGGACTGGTTAACAGATCTCATGTGGTGAAYGAATCTGCAAAGCCTGAAGAGATGCAGTAGGATAAGTGTGATTTGGGAAGGACTAAAAGATTGTGGTGGCAGTTCAGCAAGAGACTTTCAAATAAGGGACAAATGGAGAAGTRTATCTATTTTGTGTTGAGTTTGAGCTATTTCACATTAAGCACTGTATTGTGAACACAKTGAAGATTAGTTGGTGAGTGTGTTTTTCTTTTTTGGCATCTGTGCTGTCAATGAGAGTTTATCCTTAAGGGAGGTAGGGGCAGGGGCATCAATCTTACAAGGGTTTAAGTGTGGTAAGAGGAGGCTATTTTACTGTTTTACCATTTACAGTGAGTACTTCATACAGGTTTTRTGACACTGCAAATCTTTTTACCATACTGTTTGGCATTAAAACATTGTCAGAAAGGCCTACTTCTTTGCTTTGTATTTGTTTTGGAGTTAAAATTGACCCTTCCCAGGATAAGGGTGAGGTCAGCCMACATGCACCTTCAGCTGATATACAGGCTATATAGTTGCTAAATGCTTACATCTTTTTTTTCCTTTTTCCCTAGTCCTGGAGATCGACTTCTCAGAGCTTGTTCTGGAAGAAATCATTGGCATAGGGGGCTTCGGAAAAGTGTATCGAGCTATATGGGTAGGAGATGAGGTTGCTGTCAAGGCAGCTCGCTATGACCCTGATGAGGACATCAGCCAGACCATTGAGAATGTCCGCCAAGAGGCCAAGCTCTTTGCAATGTTAAAACATCCCAACATCATTGCCCTCAGAGGCGTGTGTTTGAAGGAACCTAATCTTTGCCTGATCATGGAGTTTGCCCGTGGAGGATCGCTCAATAGGGTGTTGTCTGGTAAAAGGATACCTCCTGACATACTGGTGAACTGGGCAGTGCAGATTGCCAGGGGAATGAACTACCTGCACGAGGAAGCAATTGTTCCCATAATTCACCGTGACCTCAAGTCCAGCAACAGTAAGTGCTACACAGTCAAGGGTCAGGGTGCTGGGATGTAGTTTTGGGAAAAAATCGTACAGAGAAAAGATGGGAGTAATGTTAACTTAGGAAYCCTTTCTTGTGAACCACTGTATCCTCTAATTCAATCCCAGAAGGGTTTATTTTTATACAGTATGGTGCTACAGATCACAGGAAACATATAAATGCCTTCAGCTCTGTAGAAGCAACTTAATTGATTGGATGCAAAAGCAACTGTAASTGAAGAATACTTTCCAATAGTTCATATTCATATAGTGTCTAGGTTTTATTGGCATTTCAGCAGACTTCTTATATTACAAAGCCTTATTGAACTTAAAATGTGTATTATTCTTCCACTCTTTGGAAGGTTAAATGCTTCTTTATAAAGAAGATCAGTGCTCCTAAGCTTACATTTTACTTGCTAGAYTTTGCTGTATAGATGAGCTACAAGTCTGTTTTCCTTATGGGAAATTTAACCCAGCTGAATTGGATCTTCTCTTTATCCATCGTAGAACTGGTGTTGACAGAAACATTAACTTACGTAAATAAAGTGTCCTTGTACACCCTAGGACTTCAACTGTTGTTTGTGGTGCTTTACATGATACAGCTCACCCACTGGAGAGCATGGGGACTGAACTTTGGTAGTTAGGATTGTGGAAATCATTGTGATTTCAGCTACTCTGCAATACTGATAGCGTTACTGTCTTGCTTGGGTGTTCTTGTAGTGTGTCTCTTTTCACAAACATAAAACTTCTCAAAGTCAAACACATGCATAGAACATTGCTTACAAGTGTTGGAGCAAAGTGCTGCTGTGGTTTAAAGTGTGTCATCTCCTTTCCTGATGCCTTTATGCTGCTGTTTAGCCTTTCTCTCTGCTTGTCTGATTCTAGATGGCACGAGCAAACACAGACCTGCGTGTTGGCTATGGTGGTTTAGATTGGTGTGTTAGTATGAACTTGTCATTTATGACTTGAGTTAATAAGAAACTGTATGAACTGGGTGACTGGGATGCAGGCATATGTTCCCTTTTGCTTTGAGGGCAGGGACATTAGCAAAGAGGTCTGACAGATGGGAATTTTAATGTCTTAAATAGATTCACTAGAGCTAGTGTTAACCATTTCAGTGCTGTAAATTTCCAGGCCTTGCAATGCCTTCCTATGTTTTTTTTGGCCTTAAAAGCTGTGGGAGTGAATTTATGTAGCTGGTTGTGGAAGAGTAAATGAAGTTATTATTAGTTCTTGTTAGTGAGTTTGCAAATAGGAACTTTTAAATTAGTATTATTACCAGTATTATTCTTCTGGTAAAAAGTTTCACATTTTGTTAGAGTAAGGCAGTCTTAATGTTGATAAAGATTTCCTGATATCTAAACCCTTCCCTTAGAGATGGCAATATATGTGGGCATGTTGATTAATGCTGTAAAATTAAGGAATTATTTGCTTAGTTACTGGATGACTGGCTGCCCCTGTGAATAATAAATAATTGCCTTTTAGTGTTAAGTRTTTTCTTAGGTAAGGAGGAAAGACACATTTTGCTAACAGGCCACTAAGATTTTCTTGCTAAGTGCTGGTTGAATGAGGTTTAGAATGAAAGTTATTTCTAATGTAAACAACTGTTAGCTTCTGGTATTTCACTGTTTTATTTAGACCAGAGACCTCTAATTGAAAAGGGAAAAGCATCAACAAGAGAACCAGCCCAACCAGAGGGACACCACTGCACAGTGTTACCAACCAAACAGATACCAATGCTATAAAACATCTGGACTGTCAGGAGCAAGACAGTTCTCTTGTCACAATGAATCAGCAGAGTGTAATTGTGCTACCCTTAAATTGTGAGAAGTTGCTACATGTATTRCTGTAATTTCCCTCATATGGGAGGAAGCAATAGTAAAGAAAGAGGAAGAATGAGTGGGAATGCCTGTGAAAGGATTCAGAGACGTTCTGTGTTTGAAGGGGAAAAGTAGGGAAATTACATGGTGGTTGTGACCAAGATAGCATCCTATCTAGTAGAGAAATGATGGGTATAGGAAAATTCTCTCCCAGCTGACACTGGAGCAAGCAATATTACATTTGGGAAACTGAAAAAATGTAGGAGCTGGTACTGGAGGGAAAGGCTTGAGTTACTTTAAAGAAGAATTATTGGTTTGTTTCTCTCTTATGTAGTAAGATAAATTAGTAACCTTGGGTATGGGCTTGATTTATTACAACTGCTGTTTATTAAACAAAATGGAGTTCTTCATTCTGTGCTGTGTGGTTGAAGAGAGATTTTAAAAAATACATGCTATTTTAACCATTTGAAATATGTGTTCTTTTCTGAATGTATCTATAGAGCAAGCATCATAAACATTAGATTATGACAATGGTGGAGCATTTTTCTGGGGATAGGGGATTGTAGGATAAACAACTTTGGACTGCCTAAGTCACGTCTTTTTTGATTACTCTGTCATTGCCTTGCTGAAATCCCTTTTCTATTACATGTAATAAGCATCTTAGAAATTTCTCTGCTCAGTTTTCTGTGGAAAGCTTTTTACTAGTTTTGTAAAGATTAGTGGACTAAGTATATTATTGCATTCTGATAAATATATAGCTTGCATTTTGCCCGTTTTTTTGACATAATTTTCTCAATTACCATGGATAATGGAGAGCTGGCTATTTCGTTAGGTTTGTGCTTGTAGAATTACAAGCTTGGAGCATTTTTTTTGCACAAATTACCACCTATCAGGTGACAGGCAGTAATACGTCTGTGGTGAGGGAAGAGCTTCTGCTTGCAAGAACTTGGAAAGGATTTGTGCAGACACTTTTTTTTACATGTACTAAACATCTCCAAGTGCTGTAGAGCTGTCATGGGAGCATCAGCTGTGTTGATCTACTGATTGGTGCTGCCTGCGTTGAGTAATGGATTGTAATTCTCGTACATCTTGTCTTGCGTTCTAGCACCAGCTGGGATGTACACTGTGCATCTGAAGCTGCAGGATGAGTTAGTTTGCAAGTTAGGAATCAAGATGGGGGAGTGGGAAAGAACAGAGTTGCCTTATTTAAAACCAATTTTTCTACTCGAATAGAAGAAAAGAGAATGACTTGTTGTTAGATGTCTGCTTATATTTAGGCAGACACAGAATGCATAAGGATGGTACTTCACGATGTATCTTTTAAGCAGGCCACATTACATTTTGAACATGTCAAGGAGGCACCCTAATACAGGTCTGAGAAATTACCCCATTGTATGTGTATAAAGATTTGGAAAAAAATCCTTTTTTTGATTTCAAGTACTGCAGCTRTATGGACTCAGTATATATCAGAACAATGCTCAGAATACTTGTCAGCGTTACTGGTAGTGTAATAAAGAACAAAGAGTCTTGATTACATTGGGAGGTAACTTTAGTTCATCTGGACTGAACTTCAGACGATTACTTGAAGATTTCATGAGGTGTCTCTTGAGATACTACTCATCAAAAAGCACTCCAATTGTTGTCCATCTTTTTTGGTTAAAAGTAGGAATTTTTTTCTGTTCTATAGTTTTTCTTAATTTTTTTCTTCACTTCATTTTCATAACTTTACAGTTAATGCTAATCTATTTAGAGTGTAGGAAAAGTGCTCTGTACRTTTCATATTTGTTTGAGGAATATTTATTGTAAATCTTGGAGGTTCTGAGGGCTGCCTGTTTCATTGCTTTGGAGATGCAATTGGGAAGTGAGTAGAGAAGGGTTTTTGCAGAATAAGTTGCACACCTGTGATTTAGTTTTAGAGACCCTGAAATMATTTTGTTGAGTGTGAGTTCAGCTAGCAGTAAGTCTGGTAGACAAGTGTTCCAGTGGCATTACCAACTCATACCACTCGTATAACTGTATAAGAGAAAGAAGATAAGTAAGGAAGGCTATTTGGTTCTGCTGTGTGAGGAGATAAGTATTTCTCTTTTTGTTTTGGGCATTTGATTTAAGGGATTCAATTTATTCTGTAAGAAAATTAATCTTATTAACCTGACAGGATCCTCACTGGCTGCTGCTGCTTCTGTTCATCTGGTCAAATTTCCAACCTTTCCTTCTTTAACTGCATGTTGGTSAGCCATTGAACATACGTTGGGGAATCATTAGCAGGCCTTTTTCAATGTGAAAGCACCTAAATAATCTAAATGCTGAGCTGTAGAAAAAAACAGCTAGAAATGCCCTCTGAAGTCAACATCATTGCACTTAGAACAGCTCTGCGAAGAACGAAAATGGGAAACAAGAGTTTCCCTTCCTTTTGTTTCTCATCTGTGATTTGAGTGTCTTTTCAGGCCAGAGAAAAGTGCCTGCCATATAATGCTCAAGATCAAAAAGGTACAGTCTTGTTGGTTATAATAAAGTATTGTAAATAACAAAGCTGATCCTGTTTGTCTRTTTGTCTGTCAGTGTTAGATATGCCAGCATTGCTATAGGAATAAAGCCAGTTAACTAATACTGCAGAGAATAGCAAAAGCATATTTGCTCTTTTCTTTACTGTCTCAGCAAAAAAAGTGTTTGTTATTTGCACTACATTGAAAGATTTTGCTGAGGGTGTTCATGCCATTGAGCAAAGTGCTTTTTAAAAGTCACCATGGTTGTGTTTCACARCGTGGCACAGAAGATTAGCAGGAAAATGACATCGCCAAGGTCAAGGAAAAAGGAAAGGACAGAGGTCAAAATAAACCCCAGCAAGGGTTTTGATTCAGGAAGTCAGTGGTCTTCTGTTCTAGTTATTTGAAGTCTTTATCTCTCCTGCTTTTTGCACCACCASTGTAAGTTTGTGGTGTCCTGAGATTCCAAGCACTAGCTTTCCAAAAGAATTACAAACTCTGCTATAGCTTTGCTTATTTAATGTAGTTAAGCCTTTATCTGTTTATAAAGATGCCAGTAGAGCTGACTTTCCACATGGTCTATAGATAGTTGTTCCTAGGGCTTACAATATTCCTTGGTTTTTATTTTAATCCAGTCATAGCTGACACTTTTCTGGTGGTCTTTTCAGAGGAGGAAAAGTACTTGTAATCCT